GTCCCCCCCTGGCTCACCCTGTCCCCCCTGAGCTCTCTGGAATTGATCTCTGGGGCTGATCTTGGACTCTGGGGTTGATCCTGGGCTCAATCCTGGGCTCACCTCCATCCCTCCTGTCCCCCCTGGGCTCAATCCCTGTCCCCTCTGGGCTCTTTCCTGTCCCCCCTGGGGTTCCCCCTGACTCACCCTGTCCCCCCTGGGCTCTCTGGACTTGATCTCTGGGGCTGATCCTGGGCTCCTTGGGGTCCCCCCCAGCTCACCCCCTGTCCCCCCTGGGCTCTCTGGACTTGATCTCTGGGGCTGATCCCTGGGGTCCCCCCCGGCTGACGCCGTGCCCCCCCAGACCAAGAAGAGGAGGAACAACGGGCGTGCCAAGAAGGGCCGCGGGCACGTGCAGCCCATCCGCTGCACCAACTGCGCCCGCTGCGTGCCCAAGGACAAGGCCATCAAGAAGTTCGTCATCAGGAACATCGTGGAGGCCGCCGCCGTCAGGGACATCTCCGAGGCCAGCGTCTTCGACTGTGAGTGCCCCTGGGGGGGCCTGGGGACCCCCAGAACGGCCCTGGGCAGCGTGCTTGGGTCGGTCACAGATAGTGCCCTTGTGGCAGTAAATACCTCAGGCTGCTCACCCCTGAAAATCAGCCCTGTCCCTTACAGATAGCCCCGTTTTACCCCCAAAATGTGCCTCTGTCACCCCCAAAATGTGCCTCTGTCAGCCCCACAATGTGCCTCTGTTACCCCCAAAATGTGCTTCTGTCACCCCCAAAATGTGCCTCTTGTCACCCCCAAAATGTGCCTCTGTCACCCCCAAAATGTGCCTCTGTCACCCTCAAAATGTGCCTCTGTCACCCCCACAATGTGCCTCTGTCACCCCCAAAATGTGCCTCTGTCACCCCCAAAATGTGCCTCTGTCACCCCCAAAACAGCCCCTGGCTGGCCCTGAAGAGTCCTTTGGTCACTTCAGGAATAGTCCCCTTGTCACCTTAAATACCTCAGGCTGCTCACCCCAAAAAACTGTTCCTCTGCCCCCCAAATAACCCCATTGTCCCCCAAAATGTGCCTCTGTCACCCCCAAAACAGCCCCTGGTTGGCCCTGGAAAGGGTCCTTTTGTCACCCCAAAAAATCATCCCGTTGTCACCTCAGATACCCACCCTGCTCACCCCAAAAAATTGTTCCTGTCCCTTCCAAACAGCCCCATTGTACCCCCAAATCAGCGCCTCTGTCACCCCAAAATAGCCCCTTTGACCCCCCCAAATATCCGACCCTGCTCACCTTGCCCGCGGGCAGGTGCACCCGGGGGTCTCGCGGGGCCCCCAATCCCTCGGAGCCGCCGTTAATGATTCACCGGCACCTTCAAGGCTCCGGGGGGAAGGGCTGGATGGTGCCCCCCAACACGCTGGGGATCCCCGCTGTTTCACGCTGCGACCCCCCGCTGCCGGCCCCCCGTGCCCACCCCCGGGGCGGCGGGGGCTGGGGGCCGCTGCCATGGCAGCTGGGACCTTTTTATAGCCCCTTCCGTGCTCAAGTAGCCCGGCCGGGGCGGGGGGGCCCTTCCCGTGCGTGCCCCGAGCTCCGCGGCCGCCCCCGGAGGGGTCCCGGGCCGGACAAAGCCGTCTTTGACCGCGGCTCCCCCCGCGCCGGGGCCTGAGTCACGTCTGGCGGCTCCGGGGGGGCCCCGCACCCCTCGGTGCCCTCGGGGGTCCCGGTTTGGGGGGCTCGGCCTCCCCCCCGATTGTGCCGCCCGCCACAATCGCGGCTTTGTGCGGTGCCAGGGGAGGGGGCCCCGCGCACAAAGGGGACCCTGTGCGCCCCCGCGAACGGGGGGGACACCGGGCCCGCCACCCCCGCGGGGACCCCGCGCCCCCGGAGCCGGGGGTGTCCGCGGGGCTCGGCCCGAGGGGCGGCGGCGGCGGCGGG